CTTTTAGGACAGGTGTTCTATCTTCTGTTTTATGTCACAAATTGTTGCAGCAATTTATAGTTTCTTAGGTATACAGAAAAAATCAGACTTAGTGTAATGTTTTTCCTGGCTATTATTAATAGCAGAATCAGCAAACCACCCTTTTCTTGGTTAGAGCTTTTTAACTGAACTGTGGGGTAGAAGCAGGAGGGACCTTTTATTTCTGCAGTCTTGTTCTAATTGGTTGATTGTTTCCTGCCCTATTCTTATAGTGGCGGAGCAACCCATAAGTGATGCTGCCATGAATACTAGCCAGGAAAAGAAAATGACGGTACTTATGAATAAATTTTCTGTATTTTCCAAAGATTCAGAAGTCCTAGACACACCAATGCAAATACAAACAAACAGTAAAGTATACAAAACAAACAGTACAATAAGGATGCGCCTAAAATATATACTGAAATATATAAAATACAATAAATAATAAAACAGTATATAAAATATGATATAAAAAATGGTTGACGATAGTCCAAAACTTATCAAAGTTCGTGATGGGGAATCCCACGTGAAATAAAGGAAGATTCTTAAGATGTGGAGTAAGGTCAGATCTTCATAGTTGTATGCTTAGAATTCAATGGAGCATATGTGGAGAGAAGAAGAGACAGGACTCCAATGGTACAGTATGTAGATACGTTGAGAATGAAATAATAAAATAGGTCTTACTCACACTTTTCAGAGCTGAGGATCCAGCTCTGATATTAGGCGCGTGAAGTGGAATAATCCCCACTCAAGGATATATGGAGTAGATTTCAATTGACGATTCTCTGGTGCACGTTCGACGTCCAAATTACAGACCCAGAAGGAGAGAATAAAATATATAGTGCTCTCTGTATTATGATAAAAGGTTAAAAAGTATAAAATGTATATTACTCACATTCTTTTGAGCTTTGAGTAAAATTGCACACCTACACAGTGAATATTTTGTCACAGTCATTAATATGAGTAACTAATGTAAGATTAAAAGAAAATAAAAAAAAGTATATTTGAGTTAAACCCACGACGTCTGAATAAACACCTAACTTGATTATTTTTCTTTGTGGGTATCCCAGGGGATTTGAATTTAGCATGACAGCTGCAGCATTGTTAATAATTCTCACTCATACCAGCAATTACCAGTGGGTGGCAGCAGACTATCAAAGCTGAGATGATAGTACCAGGGCACTTGATCCAGTGGCACATTTTCTCTAATTGAGAGGAATAGAAGAGTGTATATGTAACAATAAAACATAACAGTCAAAATGTAGTATAAAGTAAACAACATAAAGTAATTACAGTATACATTATTTTTGTCATTCAAAGTTTATTGAATATACATCTGTTGGTAGCACCATCAAATTGTCATTAGCAAATAAATGCAAAACATTAAGTAGCAGATATGACAAAATCAGAAGAATAACGTTAGGATTATCACATCATCTCTAAGGCAACAGATAGGTCTACTTAAAGTTGGTACAGGACATGTTAGTGCAAAATTATCCACTACTAGAAATGTAGTCTGTAACAAACAATATCCAAGCATAATCAACATATGAAAACAATATCATGAAAAACATGTCAATGTTTTGTCGCAATTTTCTTCTCAGTCGATACATAAAGCTAGTATCCTATTAAAATAGATTTAACCCTGTGCTCCAAGGATCAGCCAACATATTAAATGCTAGTACTGTAAGCTCTGTAAGACCTAGCAATGAGTACAACTAATTTCAGTGTGCCGTAACCAAACACTGACTCTAAAGCTCATGAGAGCAAATAATTTTTTTTTATTAGTCACCATGTCCATGTAAAATGTGTACTATATATACCTAGAAATTATTGAAAACAAACAAACTAGGAAACAGTTTTGCGCCGTTGTATGTGCTGGTGTGTGTCAAGGTGTGTGTATCTGTGTTTGTATGTGCAAGTGTGACACACAGATACACACACACACACCTGCACATAGTGGCACACAGATACACACACCTTGACATACAGTGTGTATTTGTGTGTGTGTATGTGTATGTATGTATCTATCTGTGTGTCAAGGTGTCTGTATCTGTGTTTGTATGCGCCGGTGTGTGTCTGTGTTTGTATGTGCAGTGCTAGTGTGTGTAACTGTGTGTCAGTGTGTCATTGTGACACATTGACACACAGATACACACACCTTAACACACAGTGTGTATCTGTGTGTCAAAGTGTGTGTGTCAGTGTGTCATTGTGACACACAGATACACACAGTGTGTATCTGTGTGTGTGTATCTATCTGTGTGTCAAAGTGTGTGTATCTGTGTGTCAAAGTGTGTGTATCTGTCTTTGTTTGTGCCGGTGTGTGTCAAGGTGTGTGTATCTGTGTTTGTATGTGCCAGTGTGTGTATCTATGTGTATGTGTTTGTATCTGACACACAGATACACACACACACTGGCACATAGTGGCACACAAATACACACACTGACACACAGATACACACATCTTGACACACAGTGTGTGTCAAGATGTGTGTATCTGTGTGTCAAAGTGTGTGTATCTGTGTTTGTATGTGCCGGTGTGTGTCAAGGTGCGTGTATCTGTGTTTGTATGTGCAGCACTGAAGGAAAAAATGGTAAGTTAAACATATGTGTGTGTGTGTGCCAATGTCCCTTGGCTCTGGGTTGGCGTCTCGCCTTCCTTCTCCAACGTCATGCTATGAGGATTTTATTGACACTGGATGTCCTCATGCAAAACATGAGGACATCCAGTGTCAGCTAGGTGACCTAAAGTCACCTAGCAAACAGGAAGCGCCTCTAGTGGCTGTTTGGTAGACAGCCACTAGAGGCTGTCTCAGTGTTGCGATGTAAACATTTCTCTAAAACTATGTTTTACATTGCAGTACTAAGGGCAATAGGGACACTGTACCGAGACCACTTCAATGAGCTAAAGTGGTTTGGGTGACTATAGTGTATTTAATCTCATAAGAGCAGGCACTAGTTTGCTAGGATAGGACCTGCCAAAATAGGGTACACTAGTGTTGTGGCAGGCTTATGCAATGTACAGTTGTAATCCAAATGCAATGTACAGTTGTAATCCAAATTATTCAACCCCTATTTTTACAGACTTTCAGCTGTTTGCAATAAGCCAATCAAACAAACACAATTGAAATAGCTCAACACAACAAATGCTTAAGTGGTTTCCCCAAATTGTAATGACTTCTCCAGTCTCAGATTTATCACAGTATGTGCCTTTTTCTTAACTAAAACGTATTGCTAGGTTACAGTAGCTAGTTTGTCTTTAAAACCAAGAACTAGTTTGTCTTTTACACTTTACATTTAGGATTTGACAAGGCCTATTAATTTCTGAGGGGCAGGCTAAAACATTCAGCAGCCATTAATAACCAGCTTCTTACACGCGAAATGTTCCATTTTGTAACATGAAACTTTTTAGTAGTCGCTAACGTTCATTTTAAAGATTACTGACTTGTTGGTAAATGATTGCAACATCCTTGGAAACAAGTCCAATGTGAGTGTTAGTACGTAGTTTTCATATCCCTAAATACGTTTTTTTGTAACATTATTTGCATTACTTTTTCTAAAGGATTTTGAATTTCAAGACTGAATTTGAAAACGTAATGAGGAGCGACATTTTTAATTGTCTAGGAACACATTAAATGAAAGACCTTGCGCAAACACATAATAATTTCTCTTATAAATATGATTAAAGGGGGTTATTCACTAAACATAGAATTGAGGATAACTGACAGAGGAATTGCACATTTGAGGCAAACATAATAAATATGATTGAAAAAGATTTTAAGTTTATTTTGTCTTTAACTTTGAAATACCATTGTCAGTTCTCCATACCTCCCATTTTAGTGAATAACCAAAGGGTGGGGCCACGGAGCTAGAAAGATATCTAGGCAGATAGGTATAGGCTCACAGACAGAGATAGAGAAAATTAAACAGTAAACAATAAGGAGAAGCAGAGGCAATAGAGGTTATGTATATATAATGGCACACCTCTCTACTGTCACTATTTTGTGTCCGCATCCCGCGGACCCTATATTCTAATAGCTCCATATTATTGGTGTGTCTGAGTGTGTAACAGAGCTCCACAGCAATAATACTCACAGTAATGGGTCTTTAAACTATAATAAATGTGTTTGGAAATCAGTCTGTGTAAATAAATTATCTTATTATAGATTATATTTTCATGGCTCCCAACTGTCCCGATTTCGGTTTCCACCTTTAGTTCCCTGGTGTCTCGCCTGAGGGGAGGATATACAGGGAGCACTGTTTCCAACAAACACAGCACAAGTGTGTCATGGGATGCACTCAGGGCACTAGGATCCTCCAAGGAACCCTGAAACAGTGCTCCCTGCATGTCCTCGCCTCAATGGGCCTGCCTGAATAATGGAAAGGCCCCTGGTTGGCATTCATGCAAACCTGACCTGCCATTAACTTGGGCAGACCAGAGGATCTGCCCCTGTTGGGTTGAACTAGGAATGCCATAGTGTAAAGGGTTGAGTAAGATTAATGTACATCAAGAATATTAATGCAGTGGTGTATCTGAATCAGGGCCTTCCAATGCATGGTTCCCGCCCCAGGCAGGACTTTGTCAGAAGCGCCATTTTGCAGCACCTGCACACTTTAACTATTCTGCTGTACAAGGCCCGGGATGCCTATTTGCATATATATGTAGCGAGTACTGATATATATATATCCACACACTATAAATATATATTTGCAGCTGGCTTGTACAATGAAGAGGGGGCCCTGGAGTCTCATCTCTCACCTCCAGCAGTAGGTCCTCTCCTCTCACGAGCCGCAAGTGTTGCTGCAGATTGCCATGGCAACACTCTTGCGGCTTGTGACAGGAGAGGACCTTTTGCTGGAGGTGAAAGATGAGACTCCAGAGCCCAATCTAAAGTATCCTAAACAGCAAACTCCATTGTGCCACCGGACCACCAGGGAATCTAGTGTCCAGACTTCCTGGCCACAGGTAAGAGGCAGGGAGAGGGAATAAGTAGACGTGCAATTCATTTCATTCCAAATGTAAATTCGGCCGAATTTCTGGCAATTCGTACATTTGGATGCTTCCAAATGTCCGAAGTGCCGAATTTCGGAAGTGCCAAAGTCCTTTGGATTTCTGAAAAGTGGCAAAACAAGAGAATTACGTGAATGATGACCGGGTTGGGGTAGGGTTAGCGTTAGTGGTAGGGTTAGGAGTTAGGGGTAGGGTTAGAGGTTAGGGGTTCGGTTAGGGGTTCGGTTAGGGGTTAGGTGTAGGGAGCCCATAGATGTTCCGAATTCTGAAGTCCCGAATTTCGTAAGTGCAGAATTGCCTAAAGGGCCAGTTTTTTTTTTCTTACCCGAATTTCCGAACTGAACCAAACCACATTTTTTACCTATGCACATCCCTAGGAATAAGCACAATATTATCCAACATCATAAAAACACATTACATGCACTGCACAAACACAGACACTTCATCAACTGCAAACACTGCAGCCACTACACACATTAGATGCACTACACAAACACTACATCCACTACAGAGACACTGCATTTACAGCACACACTGCATCCACAACATGCACTATGCAAACACAGACACTGCATTACACGACACACACAAACTACATGCAATACACAGACACTGCATCCACTAGATACACTGCATCCACTACACAAACACACACTTCATGCACTACACAAAAACAGACATTGCATCCACTACACACAATGTATACACAACAAAAAAAGACACGGCATCCACTAAACACATTGCATCCACAACACAAATACTGCATCAGAATAAAAGCAGGGGGAAATTCAGCGCTTGTACAATACTGTGACAGTTACTTACAGTAAAAACAGCAGCCAAATAAGAGAGATGCAGATACTGCAGCCACTACATGAACACACACACTGCATCCACTACACAAGCACTGCATTCACTATACACACATACACACACTCTGCATCCACTATACACACACAATGCATTCGCAACACACACTGCATCCACTACACACACTCTGCATCCACTATACACACATACATACATACAACGCATTCGCTACACACACTACATTCACTGCACATTTTAATTGATGTGAGTCTGTTTTGGTAGGCATAGTTTTGGTGAGGGGGGAGCAGCATTTCATCTTTGGACTAGGACAATGTCTTGGGCTGGCCCTAATCTGAGTGTAGTTTTAGAATTTATGTGCCAACGTAGGGATTAATTTTTATAATGCAGCATAGTTTGTGAATGTAGGTGTGTATTAGTGTCTCAGTGTATGCATTTCTGGTGTGTGTGAAAGCAATAGTTTGTTGGTGTCTTACTGCATGTGTATATTGGTATGGAGACTCTGTGTGTAAATGCAAGTGTGGCTCTGGTCCCCAACACCGTTTAACTCAGCTTCATCCCTCTTCATTCCCAATTGGTGACTTGTGTTATGTCCCATTAGGCTTGATTACTGGTGGTAATTATACTTGTATATTTGCTTTTTTGTTTTGGTCACTTTATTTAGTATTTGTATGTTATTGTACTATATTTTGGTATATCTAATAAAGTATTTGTAAGCAATGACAAAGTGCATTGCAAATTTTTTGAGTAAACACTTAACGCAATACGAAAAAATAACTGACAAATTTAAGCATGTTTTGTGTATTTGAATGTATGTATGTTACATATGTATTTGTGTGTAGTGTTTGCATTTGAATGCAGTTGTATGTTTGTATATACTGTTGCTTTTTGAAAACAGTGGTGTTCTTGTGCTTAGTGTTTGTTTTTAATGTATTTGTATGCACAGTGAATGTGTTTGTATGCACAGTCGGTGTTGGATTGCTGGGTGCACATACACTGCCCCGCACATACACACTGAAACACACACAGATACACACTGACACCTACACACACTCACTGACAGGCCCACTCTCAATTACAGACACATTCACTGACAGACACACTCTCACTGACAGTTACACAGACACACTCTAACTGACAGAAACACACACTGACAGACACACTAATATATTCCTGCACAAATTTATTTTATTTATTGTGGTTTTATTTTTTGGATTGTATTTACATTGATTAAAAAGGCCTCAGAGTGCACCCTATTTTTTGGTGTATATATATATATATATATATATATAGATATATATATAAATATTACAATGAACGGACAGCACTCCAGGGATTTTTAGATAAATTAAAACATAACTTTTAATTCATATCAAGAAATAAAAAGTCATGGCTATGTCTGTCATCCTGAAGAAGGCACCAGAGAGGAGCCGAAATGTTGATGTGGACTTTTTATTTCTTGAAATGAATTAAAAGTTATGTTTTACTTTATCTAAAAGTCCATGGAGTGCTGTCCGTTCATTGGAATATTTACATCTTTTTGCTGGACTAACACCGGGCAAGAGCTCTACTATTCTCACGAGTGCAAGCTTTTTTTGATTTTGTGTATATATATATATATATATATATATATATATATATATATATGTATATATTTACAAATTGTAGAGTTGACCAGCACTCACGGTTTTGGTGAAGATAAAAGTTGTAAACTTTAATGAAGACTCATAATAAAAAGTAGGATCGACGTTTCAGTCCACGTCTGGAACTTTCATCAGGAACTAACAAAATGAACATAAGTTGTTACATATATAGGAACAATAATCATGGAAAATTAGCTTACCCCAGGTGTATCTGATCTCCGGTATAGTGCCACCCGCGTTCCTGAGACCCCAGTGCGCATGCGTGTACATGCCCCGCCTACAAAAACGTGACGGCGTGACGTGCGTTGTCACGGAGACGGGAATGAACCTGATCACCATGGAAACCCAGCCACGCTCCATCCGCGCTCTGTAACAAATACCAGTGCAGTGAAATTGTGGTATAGATCATGTTTGGGTTTAGAATGAATAAACCCCTAAGTATAGTGGAGTATATAAGGAAGAGATATATAGTAATAACAAAGTTTACCAAAAAGTCAAGAGCCCGCGGCTCTCGAATGAAGGCGGGCATGGACCGCGAGATGCGGTCACGTGTCCCGCCTAGCTCTAAGAGCGTGACGCACATCTCGGGCACGCTCTTAAAGGGGCAGTGGGAGCCAAAAGATGAAATGTGCTCCCATTGGCCCCTGTCATCCCACATTCCCCAGACACTTACATTTTGGGGGCGTGGATATGACAGGGGCCAATCAAAGTAAAGTTTAGGGTATTTATACATACCGTATTTTTCGCTCCATAAGACGCACCTCACGATAAGACGCACCTAGTTTTTAGAGGAGGAAACCCAGAAAAAAAAATATTCTGAACTGTTCCATGGTGTTTCTTACTATGGGACAGTTTGTTCAGAATATTTTTTTTTAAGCAATTTTTTGTTCCTTACCACCCACTCCCCTCTCCTGTCCCATAATGATCTTTAACCCCCCTCCCCTGTCCCATAGTTATCTTTAAACCCCCCTCCCCTGTCCCATAGTTATTTTCCCCTGTCCCATAGTAGTATTTTAACCCCCCTTTCCTCTGTCCCATAGTGATTGTTAACCCCTCCTACCCTGTCCCATAGTGTTCTTTAACCCCTCCTCCCCTTGTCCATTAGTGTTCTGATCCCATAGTGTCCCCCCCTCCCATTGTCCCATAGTGCACTTTCCCTCCCATAGTGTCCCCCCTGCCCTTGTCCCATAGTGTCCCCCCTGCCCTTGTCCCATAGTGTCTCCCCCTCCCCTTGTCCCATAGTGTCCCCCCTCCCCTTGTCCCATAGTGTCCCCCTCCCCTTGTCCCATAGTGTCCCCCTCCCCTTCTCCCATAGTGTCTCCCCCTCGTCCCATAGTGTCTCCCCTCCCATTGTCCCATAATTACTTACCTGTCTTGGAGCGTGGGCCGGCTTTACAGCGCGCTCCGCGGTCCAGGAACTTCTATTTCAGGTTCCGGTTTCCGGCGGGACTGAAAGGAAGTGTGCACACTGAGTGTGCACTTCCTTTCAGTCCCGCCGGAAACCGGAACCTGAAAGTGAAGTTCCTGGACCGCGGAGCGCGCTGTGCTGCCGGCCCACGCTACAAGACAGGTAAGTAAAGCTTCACATTCGCTCCATAAGACGCACAGACATTTCCCCTCACTTTTGAGGGGAAAGAAAGTGCGTCTTATGGAGCGAAAAATACGGTACCTCTCCCTTAACTCCCTGCCCTATCGTGGTTTCTGTTTCAGTTCCCTTTAGCGCTTGTTGTGTTCAGTTGTGATTTTCGTGCTTGACCTTGGCTTTGTATCTGACTCCGTTTATCTCTCTATCCCTGTTTTGTCTTGTTTGTCGGCTTACGGACTACTGTGTACCAGACCTTGGCTAGTTTTTGTTCTCGCAGTCTCTTTGTTCCCTTGACCTCGGCTTGTTCTTGACTCTGTCTATTCTCTGCTATACGGCAAGTCCGGCCATACTAAGGTCCGGTAAGTCGTATCTGCTCTATCTGTCGATTGTTGAACTAAATCTTGCGTGTAGGGGTAAACTACTGTGACAAGTGCAATCTATAACGATCTAGAGATTGATGTGTGATTAGGCTAGCAGTAGTGGTTAGCTTCCGTCCTTAATTAGTTCTGACTTCCCTGAATTCTGGTATCCCTGACTTTTGGCTATTCCTTGCAACTGTGTTTCGTTCTGTGTTCCTGACCTCAGCTAGTATTTTGACTATTCTCTAGTATGTTAAGTCCAGCCATTCTAAGGTCCTGTTAGACGTTATCCTTATTCCTAAGTGTGATACTAATACTGCGTGTTGGATCAATTGTAATCCTGACACCTCCTCTAGAAGGTGCTATATTCACCATACCACCCACTCCCATCCGTGCCTCCCTTCCTAGCAGCCCCAGGACTACTACAGACCCGCAGAGAGGCTCCAGAGACACGGCACCATTGACCGGGAGCAACCTCCAAACACTATGGATCTCTGGAGCAGATTGCAGTTCCACCGCGGTCTGCTGAAACTTTAAGCAGAACGCTCTCGGTCCCAGTATCACCTAATAGTGCGCTTTTTGAAAGGGAAGATAGAGGAAGTGGAGGGGAATTCAACTATACCCTGGATTTGGGGGAGCCAGATGAACTCAAGGTAGGCGCCGCTGTTTTTGGTGAACAGGACTTTCACCCCAGTGCCATGGAACCCTGAGCAGTATCGGAGAGCAGTCGCAGCCCGCTAAAACTTTGACTTCCATCCAAATCGGCCCA